CAGTTCCATTCTTGTTCAAGACCTTCACAAAATTTTTCATAAGCCCTAATTTGATGTGTAGTGGTGGCAGAAGAATTTTCTTGGGGTCAACTAGTGGCACAGTTTTCACGTTGTGATTTCCGGGTAAGAAGCTGGTCCTTGGTGGCCAGTCTTTTTGTTCATAGTGCTGGCTGTCTGCCCTACTATCACAAAGATAGAAAACAGGGATACTTGGTGTATCCGCCTTGAAGACCTAGTAGGAGAGCAATAACTTTTAAATCACCATAAATGAGAAAATTGTGATTCTGGTACTTGATTGGATATATTAATGTCTCCATATTTGCGTAACTTTCTGACATTTGGACACTATGGACAATTGGCACAGATGCAGCTGTGTTGCCACTGTAGAGAAGTACAGCCTTTAAAGTTCTTTTAGAAGAATCAATGAAGAGTCTACATTCATCTGCTTTGTATGACATCCCCTCGTGTTCAATAGGCCGGAAATATTTGAACAGAAAACTTAAGATTCCTCTCTGTCAAAGAACTGAGTGAATTCAGCTTCACGATGACGATACCAAGCGAATGTTGTTCCAGGAACTAGAACCCTGTGTTCCTTCAGTCTAGAGCCAAGTAACGTGCACTTTTTTTTGGAAGGTTAAGGTCTCTCACCAAGTCACTGAGCTCAACTTGCTTGAAGGGTTTGAAATCATTTGTTGGTGGTTCACAGTCTACTTCCATCCCCTTAGAATCACTGGTATCAGACTGATGAAATTTGCCATGTCTCAGGTGGCACAGGTACAGGAATATCTTCAGTGTGTGGAACAGCCCTTATTGCTGAAGGAATTATGCGATCTTTAGTCTTCTTGAATCAAGATACTTTAGTCATACAAAAGTAGCAGTCATCATGGTGGTTCCTCTGCTCCCACCTTACCAACTGACCACATTTGGAGCTTACTGATGCAACTCTTGCAAGCTTTGTGTGGTACAAATGGTCTTAGTCTCCAAGTTTGCAGCCAAAATAAACAAAGTAGAAGCGCTTCAATAAAAGAGTAATGTTGCTCCAGAAATCTGAAGGGGTGAATTGCCCGCAGACATAGCAAAATATGTCTGTGAATTTATGCAGCCTCTAGACATATTAATAATATGAAAATACAGAAAAAATATGTTAGATTTAGACATTTAAGTCAATATCAGGTAAGCATTTTAATTGGTAATATACAACTTCCTCATTTACTTACGTTATACAAAAAGAGAAAAGTAACGTTTCCGTATAACTTGACAACCTGATGTGATAGAGATGAATAAAACACACAATGAATCACTGTTTTCCATATATATACTGAAAAAGATACCATAGAGTCGATAAAAAAATCATGCAGACCAGTGTTATCTGTACTATTACAAGCAGATATTAAAAATATCAATAATGCACTGATAATAATCGACTGAGTGTCACATATATTGTCTGCTTTACAAATTGCGAACAGCGCTGATAATATTGCATTATATATTTGAATGATAAAGATTACTTGAAAGGTATCTCACTGACTGTAAATAATACTGAATGATAGAAAGGTCACTGAAAAGGTGTCTCAAGGAGTAACTTACACTGACACCAAGCTTGGTCACTGGGATGGCGAGTGTTTCAGGACTGTATCAACCAGTTTATGGTAAAGATGACGGTCATCTTGGTTGTCCCATTGTTACATTATCTAATAAAGTATAAAAGGTCTTTTTTTTCCTCTAATAAACTTGTAAATATTAAAAAAAAAAACTAGCTATTTATGTTAATTTACATTTCTTTTAGTATTTATAAATAATTTATTTTAGTATTCATGGATTATTTCTTTTAGTATTCATGGATTATTTCTTTTAGTATTCATGGATTACTTCTTTTAGTATTCATGGATGATTAACGAACACCCTGTTAACTATCTTGAATTTTCAAACTCGTGAAGAGTGACAGTTGCAACTCTGTGTATTATTAACCCAGACATCGGAGAGGTTCTACATCACTCACCTCAAAAGTTGTGTGTATATTATATATATATAATATATATATATATATATATATATATATATATATATATATATATATATATATATATTATATATATATAAATAATATATTACATCACATCAAATGTGTATATCGCCTAGGATCAATTATCCATCAGAAAATTCCAGGTTCATCCATCACTCTACCAAACTATAAAAATATTTCTGTGAATTAACAATGTGTGCAGTTTAACGAACGGTGGATAAAACTTCCACGAGTCTTTCCGATAAATGAACCACACAGGTTTAAGGCATCACATGAAAAAACTAAAACTAACTTCTGAAGATTACAACTTCAAACATTCTTATCTGACTCTAAGAAGCTCATGTGGTTTATCCTGGAAACTTGCCATTTCCCTGACTGCTAAGAGTAACTCCAATAAGTTTAAAATACCTTCAAGCACACAAGATATTTTACCTCAGGTTAATTCACCTTCAAAGAAGTTTCATGAATCCTTATCCACAATATTGCTCTCAGGTGTGGGGAAGCTCCCCTCTACCAGGTGACTCTTCATGCACCTGCTCTCAGGTGTGGGAAAGCTCCCCTCTACCAGGTGACTCTTCATGCACCTGCTCTCAGGTGTGGGAAAGCTCCCCTCTACCAGGTGACTCTTCATGCACCTGCTCTCAGGTGTGGGAAAGCTCCCCTCTACCAGGTGACTCTTCATGCACCTGCTCTCAGGTGTGGGGAAGCCCCCCTCTACCAGGTGACTCTTCATGCACCTGCTCTCAGGTGTGGGAAAGCTCCCCTCTACCAGGTGACTCTTCATGCACCTGCTCTCAGGTGTGGGAAAGCTCCCCTCTACCAGGTGACTCTTCATGCACCTGCTCTCAGGTGTGGGAAAGCTCCCCTCACCAGGTGACTCTTCATGCACCTGCTCTCAGGTGTGGGGAAGCTCCCCTCTACCAGGTGACTCTTCATGCACCTGCTCTCAGGTGTGGGAAAGCTCCCCTCTACCAGGTGACTCTTCATGCACCTGCTCTCAGGTGTGGGAAGCCCCCTCTACCAGGTGACTCTTCATGCACCTGCTCTCAGGTGTGGGAAGCTCCCTATTCTTTGTTCTTTTTACCAGGTGACTCTTCATGCACCTGCTCTCAGGTGTGGGAAAGCTCCCCTCTACCAGGTGACTCTTCATGCACCTGCTCTCAGTGTGGGAAAGCTCCCCCTACCAGGTGACTCTTCATGCACCTGCTCTCAGGTGTGGGAAAGCTCCCCTCTACCAGGTGACTCTTCATGCACCTGCTCTCAGGTGTGGGAAAGCTCCCCTCTACCAGGTGACTCTTCATGCACCTGCTCTCAGGTGTGGGGAAGCCCCCCTCTACCAGGTGACTCTTCATGCACCTGCTCTCAGGTGTGGGGAAGCTCCCCTCTACCAGGTGTCTCTTCATGCACCCGAGAGCAAAGTTACTAATCTCATCACTGAGCTCATGGTGTAACTAAGATCATTACCCTCTAATAACAATTTGCGATCTCTGCTTCTAAAGGCTTTTGATAGTTGTTTACTAGCGCCCATGCATGCCAGTGTAACACTCTCGACACGCTTCTCAAATTACAGGGCGAAAGGCTCCCCCTCCACCCAAGTGCTATTGCCACACCTGTCCCTCAGCTGTGTGAACTACCCTCCTAAGGCTCTTCACAACCGACTCAGTGGGGAGTCCTGCACAGATGACTTCAAGCCATGCTCTAATGTAGCCACCACCAGGATCTCTCATGTTCATGTTGGTAACTTACCCCTTTAAAGGTGAAAATCTATGTTGACGAGATATGGGAACCCATACAGTCTCCTCTTATGCATCCGAAAGGCAAGTTTAATCCACCACAGGCTTTATGAGTGTAAAAGATCATTAACCCTAAATAACAAGGCTACGTTTTTAAAAGCTTTTTGAAGAAAGCCATGTTGTGCTAACATCCGAAACTTCTTAATAAAAGGCTGAATCAACGCTGCGGACGTCATGTCAGAAATACGCAGTTTTTACTTCCCACCAGATCCAGTTCCTATAGTGTGTTACTTACTTAAATTAACACTTCGACATTCGTAATGAAGACCTGACAACACGATGCACCATTTTCTTTGTTCCCACCTTGCTCACCCAAAACCGTAAGTTAGCATGGGAGAAGGCAGTTGCGATATGTAAGAAAACTCAGACTATGCTTTGTTCGCGTAGAAAGGCTAATGTCTTCCAAAGGTCCACAACCACTTATGGTCGTGTTAAACATGTTTACACGAATAGAAAAGTAACTACGATTTTTAACACGTTCCTGAGAACTTTGCTCCAAATTTTTTTACCAAAGAAGCGCTGGAAGGTGAAACGCTTCCTCAATGTCTTGATAATCGCGTACGTGTCTTGTCTTCCTCACATGAGTGGTCAGCTTCCCTATGTCGTGGTTCTTTTAAATTAGAACTTCCTTACGTATATAGCTTGCCTCCAGCGCACCATTATTTCTTTCGCCCTTCCCCCTTCCGCCTCTCTCTCCAGTCCCACCGTGTTGCAACGTGCGGGTACTGAAGGCAGCCTGACTCCCTCCACTAGAGACCACACTCAACTATAATTTGTTCAGCGTGGTAACACCGTGCTAACATGCATCACCACAACGGTCCACTAAACACTTCACTCAGGTGCACCACCTTCAACTTACATCGTATATAAATGAAAGGGGGAAGGGAGAGAAGTCAGGGATACTGAAGGAGGGATGCAGTGGGGAACGGGACAGAAGCAGAGGGAAAGGGAATGGGAAAATGGAAGGAAGGAAGGTTGGGGAGGGGAGAATCAGGAAAGTGAGAAAAACGTAATCTTCCTCACATACTTGGCCCTGGATACTCGTCTACGTAACACTTTACTGAGCGAACGAAGAAATTACCAGATTTTAAAAAAATCAAAACAATATCATAAATATTAGGATGGTCGTACAAGAATATGAGAGAGAGAGAGAGAGAGAGAGAGAGAGAGAGAGAGAAACTTACCATTGGGGTAGTCGAGGTCGTCTGAGAGAGGGAAGAGTATGGGTATGAGCACACTGGCTGCCATGATCACAAGCACCTGCAGCAGCAGGCATCCACTACCCCAGCAGCAGCAGCCTCCGTCAGCGAGCGACAGTACCCGCACTCGAACTCGACCCGCACGTGTGTAGGGGTCGCTCGTGCTCAGCATGCGGCGGTGGCTGCTTCACCTGCACGAGATGCAGCTCAGGTGCGGGAGAGGTGTGCTCGAGGCGAGGACTGGGGCAGCCTCAACAGAGGCCGGGCACTGGGCAGTCATGGGTATCATGGCACTAAGTTACTCAGGACTTTGGATGTAAGTTGCTGACAGCATTTCCGGTGTGGCACTGTCAACAATTTGTTACAGTCATTCCAGCTTGCTGTTTGGCATGAACCTTGCTAATTAATACCCATCAAAGTAATTTAAAATTATACCAGAGTAAACATTAACACACATTTATTGGAAAAACGTCTCGCCCCTGTAACCTTGATTAAGTTCCCAGGACCGAAACGTTTTGCAATGTTTGTTAGTGCTGGCTCAAGAGCCTTTGTAAACCAGCTTTATGTTATCGTGAATAATTTAGTGTGGTAAGAACATCCAAGCACTTCAATGTTTATTATTGTAATTTCCTCAAGCAAATGTAACTCGCTCTAAGTCACACCCCATAAGCCATATCACACAACTCATCACAGTTCATAAGTCACGTCACACAACTCATCAACCTAGGGTAAGAGTGAACCTCCTTCACATTTTTCCTGTGATTTCCTGGTGGTGATGATTAAGCATTCCTAGTCAGGACGCACACCTTGCCACATCCCTTTAACTTTTTCCAGACTTTTTCATATTAAACTGCAACGAAACACACACACACACACACACACATAGGGGGATAGGGGGGACATGATAACGACATACAAAATACTGAGAGGAATTGACAAGGAGGACAAAGACAGGATGTTAGAGAGATTGGACACAGTAACAAGGGGGCACACTTGGAAGTTGAAGACACAGATGAATCACAGGGATGTTAGGAAGTATTTCTTCAGCCACAGAGTAGTCAGGAAGTGGAATAGTTTGGGAAGCAATGTAGTGGAGGCAGGATCCATACTTAGCTTTAAGCAGAGGTATGATGAAGCTCACGGTTCAGGGAGAGTGACCTAGTAGCGACCAGTGAAGAGGCGGGGCCAGGAGCTCGGACTCGACCCCTGCAACCTCAACTAGGCGAGTACAACTAGGCGAGTACAGACACAGACACAGACACACACACACAGTTTTCTTTCTTTGTCATCTTCCCATCTAGAGATGGCCCAGTTTTGGACTTCCATTTGCCGACTGGGTTGCCTGTGCAGGTTCCTGTGATAGTGGGATGCCTCTTATACCTTATACAAGTCTTGTAATTAACAGTAGCGGCCTCTCGACAACGAAAGCTGAACCAAGGCTCATCTGAAGGCCTAGGCATGTACTGCCTCTCCTCTCTCTCTCTCTCTCTCTCTCTCTCTCTCTCTCTCTCTCTCTCTCTACATCTCCTCATCTCTACACACACACACACACTTCCTGCGGGAGGTTCAGTGGGACAGAGAAAGGGTAGGAAAGTCAGTAAATTAAATGATGGAATATGTAACAACAAAATGCAAGGAGGCAGAGGAAAGGTTTGTTCCCAAGGGCAACAGAAACAATGGGAAGACCAAAGCGAGTCCTTGGTTTACCCGAAGGTGCAGGGAGGCAAAAACTAAGTGCATTAGAGACTGGAAGAGGTACAGAAGGCAAAGGACCCAGGAAAACAAGGAGACCAGTCGAAGAGCCAGAAACGAATATGCACAGATAAGGAGGGAGGCCCAGCGACAGTACGAAAATGACATAGCATCGAAAGTCAAGTCTGACCCGAAACTGCTGTTTAGCCACATTAGGAGAAAGACAGCAGTCAAAGACCAGGTGATCAGGCTGAGGAAAGAAGGTGAGGAACTCGCAAGAAACGATCAAGAGGTATGTGAGGAGCTCAACACGAAATTTAAGGAAGTATTCACAGTGGAGACAGGAAGGACTCTGGGAAGACAGGACAGAGGGGGACACCAGGGAATACACCAACAGGTGCTGGATGACATGCACACAACTGAGGAAGGGGTGAAGAAGCTGCTAAGTGACCTTGATACCTCAAAGGCAATGGGACCGGACAACATCTCCCCGTGGGTCCTCAGGGAGGGAGCAGATATACTGTGTGCCATTAACCACAATCTTCAACACATTCCTTGAAACTGGTTAACTACCTGAGGTATGGAAGACCGCAAATGTAGTTCCCATTTTTAAAAAAAGGAGACAGAAAAGAGGCATTAAATTACAGATCAGTGTCAGTGACGTGTATAGTATGCAAAGTCATGGAGAAGATTATCAGGAGGAGAGTGGTGGAGTACCTGGAACGGAACAAGGTTATAAACGACAACCAGTTCGGATTCATGGAAGGCAAATCCTGTGTCACAAACCTTTCGAAGTTTTATGACAAAGTTAAAGAAGTAAGACACGGGAGAGAGGGGTGGGTTGATTGCATTTTCTTGGACTGCAAGAAGGCCATCGACACAGTTCCTCACAAGAGATTAGTGCAGAAACTAGAGGGTCAGGCGCGTATAACAGGAAGGGCACTGCAATGGATCAGAGAATACCTGACAGGGAGGCAACAACGAGTCATGGTACGGGATGAGGTATCACAGTGGGCACCTGTGACGAGCGGGGTCCCACAGGGGTCGGTCCTAGGACCATGCTATTTTTGGTATAAGTGAATGACATGAGGGAAGGGATAGACCCAGAGGTGTCCCTGTTTGCAGATGATGTGAAGTTAATGATGAGAATTAGAGACCTGGACAGGCTGGACACGTGGCCCAGCAACTGGCTTCTTGAATTCAACCCTGCCAGATGCAAAGTCATGAAGATCGGAGAAGGGCAAAGAAGATCGCAAACAGAGTATAGGCTAGGTGGCCAAAGACTGCAAACCTCGCTCAAGGAGAATGATCTTGGGGTGACCATAACACCGAGCATGTCTCCGGAGGCACACATCAACCAGATAACTGCTGCAGCATATGGGTGCCTGGCAAACCTTAGAAAAGCGTTCCGATACCTTAATAAGGAATCGTTCAAAATACTGTACACTGTGTACAGCAGATCCATACTGGAGTATGCAGCACCAGTTTGGAACCCACACCTGGTCAATAAATTAGAGAAAGTGCAAAGGTTTGCAACAAGGCTGGTTCCGGAGCTAAGGAGGTATGTCCTACGAAGAAAGGTTGAGGGAAATCGGACTGGCGACACTGGAGAACAGGAGGGTCAGGGGAGACATGATAACGACATACAAAATACTGCGTGGAATAGATAAGGTGGACAGAGGCAGGTTGTTCCAGAGAGAGGACACACAAACAAGGGGTCGCAACTGGAAGCTGAAGACTCAGGGGAGTCACAGGGATGTTAGGAAGTATTTCTTCACTCAGAGTCGTCAGGAAGTGGAATAGCCTAGCAAGTAATGTAGTGGAGGCAGGAACCATACATAGCTTTAAGACGAGGTATGACAAAGCTCAGGAAGCAGAGAGAGAGAGAGAGAAAGAGAGAGGACCTAGTAGCGATCAGTGAAGAGGCGGGGCCAGAGCCGAGTCTCGACCCCTGCAACCACAATTAGGCGAGTACGTACACACACACACAAACACACACACACACACACACACACACACACACACACACACTCACAAACACACTCACAAACACTCACAAACACACACACGCAAATACAACAGGCCTAGTGTCTAATCGACATGTGCCTAGGACAAAATGGTAACTAACACACACACAAGGTGCTATATTTAGTGGTCACTACTAGGTGCACCCTTCTAGTACTGGGTAGATGCTCCCCTATGCTTCCAGAACAGCCTGAATTCTTCGGGTCATGAATTCAACAGGGAGCTGAAATCATTCCTTAGAGATGCTAGTTAATGTTGACATAACATAACACAGTCTGCAGTTGCTGCAGATTTGCCGGATGCACATTCATGCTACGAATTCCCTGTTCAACATACCAAGGCTTATGCCAAATTCCGACCCCACCATCCGCATGTCGCAGCAGAAATCGCGATTCGTCAGACCAGGCGACGCTTTTCCAATCTTCTATTGTCCAGTTTTGGTGAGCCTGTGAATACTGCAGCCTGTTTCCTGTTCTTAGCTGACAGGTGTGGAACCTGGTGTGATCTGCTGCTGCTGTAGCCCATCCACTTCCAGGTTCAACTTGTGTGCTCAGACACTCCTGAATACCAATGTGGTTATTTATGTTACTGTCATTTTCCTGTCAGCTTGAACTATCTGGTCATTTTCCTCTTACCTCTCTCATTATCAGTGTGTTTTCGCCCACTGAACTGCCACTCACTCGATGCTTTGTCTTTCCCCCACACCATTCTCTGTACACTCTAGAGACTGTTGTGGGTGAAAATCCCTATCAGCAGTTTCTGAGATACTGAGACCACGTTGCCCTAGGTTGTGCAAATGTTGTGAATCCATAAATTTAGTAATCTTGCCGCTTAAAACTCAAACATTATGATAATTTAGGACGTCAATGGTACTGGTATATAGTGCGTTCTGCGTGTATTGTGGTGTTTAATGACTGGGATAACACTTCTTTACAGACTCCACAGAATATTTAAGAGGATATCTTTTTTTCTTTGCAGTTTTGATGACTACGAGTTTAACGAGTCTGGGCGCAGGTCAGAGTGCAACACTGTCCATAACTTCACGGAAGTCAAGTTATAAATTATGAACATGTCGGCAGAGTTTTTACTCTCATTCCTACAAAAATATATTTGACTTGACTCTTAACCTGATTAATGACTCAAGTCATATTATGACGTCAATATTTCACTTATTTCTTTACCATTATCACTAAGCTCCAACTGCTTTAAACAAGGGTCCAATACTATATGTTCTTGTCCCCCTGGATTTTGCGTATGATAAAAAATATTTTGGGTTTAATTCGATATGTCATTTAGGCACGAATAAGACGAACATCAAAATGGTATAAAATACCGACAGGTTGTTAGGTAAGACACATATGCAACAGTTAGGTATATTTATTTCGAAAAGTTTCGCCTACACAGTAGGCTTCTTCAGTCGAGT